TGTAACACAGCCACTGTGTGACCTCCGGACCACGTATGGCCAGTACGCAATCCTGGAAGTTCAACAAGATTTGCGTTGAAGAAGTCGTCCGCAGTCGTCCCGTTGACAAAGTGCCGTGCGAGCGAGCGTCCCCAGGCGTCTGTCACTGTGACGGGGAAACCTGCCGCCTGCTTGGACACAGTCTCCTGCACTAGGAGGTCCTGGAAGGCCGCTGTAGCGTCTGCGTCGGGTCCTGGTTGCAGTATGTCGATGTCTGTGAGCCATCCTCCGAAACGATCATTTCCCGTCGCTCCCTCTTGGAATCTGGCTCCAAAGATGAGATCGGGAAGCGTCGGGAAGTCCGCTTGGGAGAGAGATAGTACTAGCCAAGCGCCGCCTGACAACCCGGAGATGTACGACGTCGCTTGGAGGAGGCCACCCATTCCTTCTTCGACCGATGTCCTGTTGCGGCCGTCCAGCGCACTCAATACGCCAGCCCCAAAGAAGGCCGCGCGAAGCCCTCCGCCGCTGGTAGCGATTCCGACATTCGGGAGGGCATGAGTTCCCAGAAGACCAAGCAGGATTAAGTCCATGTATAGAGGGAAAGGGAGAGCGGCACTCCGCTTCACGTTCTCCAGATAGACTGCCCACGCGTCGGGAAGAACGAAAGATCGCCGTGCTGAGATGTAACGGGCCTCTTCTTCGGCGAGGGTCTGCGTAAGTGGATTGTGCCCCACCTCGCGCACCAGCTTGGTCCCGCGGCCGCATGGTTGCAGGGTTGGAGCGTACATCCTTGCTGCGGGGCCCTGGCAGACGGCTATACCGACCCACAGAGAGAGATGGGCCAACGGCCACAGGATAAAGGCAAGCATGGGTCTGCAGTGCGGAGGGATGGATTGTAACAGCCCCGGTGACCATGGGACTCTTATAAACCGCACGGGGCCGGCGGGAACATAATCAGGGCGTGGGCATCTGGGAATGACCTGATAGAGCGATGGTAGGCGAGCCAGCACAATCAGCCCGACCGCGGACGAGCAATGACGGAAGGAACACGACGGACCTGTGAACATTGACCGGCCACGCGGACACTGGGCCGATACCCACGGGAAAAAGCTGTAGGGAGATCTAGAGCTGCGCCTGCACGTAAACGCAGTCCGAAATGTCAGTATGCGCATCATGAGGCGCAAAAAGACTCCAGAGCCTTCAATAACAAACGCCATCACACCTCAGCCAGGCAATCCGTAGCCCGCTGACGGTGCAGAACAGTGACAGAATGCGGGTCTGAAAGCGCCACGGGAGCGATATCCAGCCCAGCGGTGACGCAGCGGACGCAAGCGTCGTTTGAAATGTGCATAGATCCTATTGCATTTCATTCTCGCCTTCGTCACCCTAACGAAATGAACGCAGGTGTATGAGATGAGGAGGAGCGTAAAGGATAAGTTGTTACAGGGTGTAGTTGGAGTGGATCCGGACGGCAAACGCTGCCAACGCAAACAGGCGCGCACACACAAGGCGCTCATCTGTGGGCGGCAATTGCCGGACCCTGGGAGCAGGAAGCTGGAGGATGGCGAAGTCCACATCCACAAGTATTAACTTACTACCTCCGACCGTGCTATGAGATGGACCCCACTGGCACGCATCTTTGTTCACGATCCTGCGATATTGTTGCCTGTTCAACAACGTGATTACAACCTGCGTCGACACATTCCTGATCATCATACAAGGACTCGGAACGGTGACCCACGAACTAGTGCCGCACGTGCTGCTCAAGTGCAAGGGAGCCTATGGTCACAGCAACCTCTGTTCCGAATGCGATCCATCCACTCAACTCCTCATCCAGCTCCTCCCCTTCGGTATGCCATGCTATCTCCCGTCACAGGTTCTTAGCAAGCGGGCTGATCTGAGGCAAGCCGGGGAAGAACGACGTCGGGATAGTCCTACGCGAGTCAGCCGGTCAGCACGCATCCCCTCTCGTCAACGCTAACACCACTCACGGAGTCGGGATGGCCGCGTTCGTCGCGAAGCCAGTTGAAAGGTCGCCCGACATCGTCGTCGGGGTCGAGTACCCAGCCGGACGCGTGATGGACTGGGTGACGACGGCGTAGCTCGTGTGCGTCGAGCCGCTCTTGATGCACGACACGCCCGAGCCGTACGCGCTCTCGCACTTGACGACCGCCTTGTCCGTCTGCGACCACATGTTCACGTTCGAGAGCGTGATGTCGTAGCACGGCGCGCCGTCCGCGCAGATGAGCTGGATAGGCGGGCGTTGAACACCGTCAACGACGTTGCCGTCCCAATTCTACGCATGCGAAGGGCGAGACGCATGTGACCACTGGTGATCATTGTCGAGACGCGGCGGAGTGACGCACCTGGAAGGTGATGTTGGAGAGCTGGACTCCCGCCCCACTGCCGGGGGTTTGCGAAGACCAGTACTGGTTGATGTTCAGGCCATAGGCGGTACCGCGGGAGATGAAGTTCTGGAAGAGAACGTTCCGCACGTAGCCGGAGCCGAGGTTGCTCTTGATCATGAACGCCTGGTTGCCACCGTTCGTGTAGATGTTCCTAGAAGTCATGAAGGGTGAGGACGTCTGGGGGATACACAACGAGGAGCTTGGCGCACCTGTAGAGCACATCTTGAATCGCAGTGCCGTCAGAGAGACTGCCAATGGCGCTGCCCCCCGACTGGTTGCACCAAACTGAGGATGAGTCAGCTGACGTGCGGCGCGAGTCGACAAGACGTGCATGACGTACTCCGCTCGACCAAGATGTTGTTCGACGGCGACTGAGATACGTATGCCGGTCAAAACCATGTCTGCCAAGGAGGGGAGACGCTACGGGTACAGTACCTTCACGGTGACACACTCATCGCGGTTCGTGACCTCGACGTCGTGGATCCAATGGTTGGAACCCCAGACGTCAACGCCATCGGAGCCACCCAGGTTTGCGCCTACACGAGCCGCGTTCAGCATATACTTCGCGTACTAACCACCGTTGTAGAACGTACCTCGGATAGCCATGTTGTAAACCTCTCCATTGGAGCCCTGCTGAATGACAAGATGGAACTCCGGAGCTGGCCCCGGGAGAAGTTAGAGCATGCTGTCCGATGCGACAAGTACAGGCGCATCACGCACAGTCGACGAGGATGAGGTCATGGACGGACCAGTTGGTCGAGGTGACCATGCGGATGAGACGGGGTCTGCAATACAAGGCGGTCAGTCTAGAACGGCATCAGTTCTTCCGAAGATGCTAATTACCCGGCATTGCGGCACTGGTACCCAAGGCCCTGGATACCGCCGGCGCTATTGGCGGAGTAGAACTCGAAGTCGTTCGCGTTCTCAATGGCGATCATGTTGCCGCCGGTAGTCGCTAAGATAGGATGTCGGAGCCAGTTAGCAACCGGCTTGCAGTCGCAAGCCGTCACCATGAACGCACCGGCGCGAGTGATCAGCCCATCCAGGCGGAAGGCCCACTTGGTGCCTCCGTTCAAAGTCACCCAGGTTTTCATGTTGTAGTTACCTGGCGCATGCAACACGTCAGTTCTGTACGTCGAAGTAGGAACGCGAGCGTGGCCCACCAGCCGGGACGTAGAGAGTGGATCCGGAATGCTTGAGCACGCAGTTCTGCAACATGCACCATGAGCGCGCGAACGGATACAATGAATAGTAGCTCCCGACATACCGTGAACGCGCTGTTGATGGCAGGACCGATGTCGCTCGAGCCGATGCTACCTCCGTAGTCGAGAACATTGCAGATGGTGCTCTGCTTGGACGACAGCGAGCTGGTTGGCCCAACGCGTCCGGACAGTTGCGCGGAGGCGGCAGAGATCAACAACAGCGAGGCGAGGAGAGACTTGAAGCCCATGTTGTACGTAGCGCAGTCGACGGATGAAGCGGCTCGAGAAAGGCGCTATATGCGCTCGAGAGGGCCACGCCTTCGACAGATGGAGTGAGTTAAGTACTGCGCCGGTGCGCGAAGCATCGCCAGCGAAAATGTCGGCTCAACCCAACAAGAGGTTCTCCGAACCGCACCCACCCACCCGTTCCACGACCGACGCATCTCCGCGGGATATCAGGCACCTGACGGGCCTGATGGCTGGTAGCGGGGAGCTGTGCGGGACTTCGAGCAGTAGACGAGCGCGTGCTGGGCCGATTTTCGGAGCCGCAACGCGCGCCGGCTCCAGTATATCCGGATGCCTAGTCGCCAAGCACATGACGGACATGACGACGGAAGCGACGTGCAAAGGAAGTGCAAAGCCAGAGAAGGGGAGTGTGTGAGCTGAACGCTGTGCACATGAGCCAGACGCCACGAGGGTCAGAGGTAAGAAGCAGGTCCAGAGCCGAATTCCATTCAGAGAGGACCGTCAGCGGACCGACCAGCGGGCCGTAGTCGAGGACCGCAATTCCACCGTACTCAACAGCGCGAGTGGAAGTGCTGCGAAGGGAACCTCGAAGCCGTCTAGAGCGTCGCAGCGAGCGGGATGATTTCACCCGACTACAGCACCGGAAGAACAGACGAGACTTCTGCCAGACCGCTACGCTAGTAAACACAGATGTATGATCAGTTCAGATTCAGCTCGAAGTCCCCACCTTGATGCTGGAACGTACCTACAGGTACGAGAGAGACAGGAGCTCATCCCGGCAGACTTGCGACTGGCTAGGCCTAAGCCTGGGGCTGACGAAACGTCCACAAGGTCGTACAGCAGGAATCCAAAAGATGCAATCGTCCGCAGATCTCGAAGCGTAGACCATTCCGAGTGAGCAACATTGCAACTCCACAAGCTCACGCAAGCCTCCACCAATGGGCGTCCTGAGTGGCACTTGGGTTTCCTCCACTTATGCTAGAACAATTTGTGGAAAGCAGGTGAGAACAACTGCTATTCTGAAGACCGCTGTCGTGAAGCAGCTGGTTGGTTCCGGAGTACTTTTGGTGGTGGTGGTGGCACTGGTGGTGACTCGATGTGAGTACGGTACGCCGAGCACACGTGCTTATGGGTATAATGTCACCTCTAATGCACTGAAGAAGACAGTGTAGCCAAGTGGTTACGGCGTCACGTTTAGGCCCTTTTGGACTACCACCGTGATGGGTTTCCCGCGCGAGTTCGAATCTCGTCACTGTCATTTTTTGGCCCCGCTGCTCATGTAAAGCACATTACGAATGGCATTCAAACTCGTTCTGCAAACGGTGTACAAGCCCAAGTAGTAAAAGCGGTGAGAACACATTTCATGGTAGATTCAAATGTTCGGACTCTTGGAAAGGGTTCCGGTGCTGGCGGTTCTGGTTCCCCCCATGAGATCACTCTTCTGCATGTTCCTTCTCTCCTGCGTCGTCTTCGTTCTCTTCTTCTTGCTCTGCCCGGTCGGGATCCCACTCGTTCACTACCCGGATGCGGACGGTGCCATCGTCTGCACCAGACGCCAAGGTCTCGCCGTCAGGGCTGAACATCACCAACGTGACTTTGTCGTCGTGCTCGTTGAAGGTCGCAACAGACGAGCCGTCAGCCGTCCGCCACAAGCGAACCGTGTTGTCGGATGAGGCGGACGCGATGTACTTCCCGTCAGGCGAGAAGCACGCCGTATTGATCATGCTCTCGTGGCCCGTCAGCGCCAGCTGGCGCTCGCCCGTGAATGCATCGCATATCTTCAGCGTCGAATCCGCCGACGCCGTAAGGACGCGCTCGCCGTCGCCGGAGAACGAGACGTTCCACACCGGCCCGTGGTGCTCGTAAATGCACACGAGCAGCTCGCCGGTGTCGACGTTCCAGATGCACGCGCTCGCGTCGTCAGAGCTGGTGACGATGCGCTTGTCGTCCGCGTCGAAGTCGACGTCCCAGATCATGCCCTTGTGGCCGTGCAGCTCCGCGTGCACCGCGCCCGTCGCGACGTCCCAGATGCGGCAGCAGTAGTCCGCGCCGCCGGACGCGAGCAGGCGGTTGTCGTGCGAGAACTTGACGACGGTGAGCATCGTGTAGTGGCCCACGAGCACGAACAACTGCTCGTACGTGTCCGCGTCCCACAGGCGTACCGTCATATCGTCTGAGCCAGTCGCGATGCGCTTGCCGTCGGAGGACCAGACCATGGGATGGATGGTTTCCTCGTGGCCCGACAACGTCGCCAGCTGCTCGCCTGTCTCGACGTCCCACACGATGACGTTGCTGTCCGCGCTGGCGGAGGCAAGACGCTTGTCATCAGGAGAGAATGCGAGTGCCCAGACGACGTCGGCATGGCCGTCGAATCGCCGAACAATCGTCTGGTTCGTCGGGTCCCAGAGGACGATCGTCGAGTCGTCGGCACCACTCGCGACGAGCTTGCTGTCGTGAGAGTACGCGAGCGCGGAAACAGCGCCGACGTGGCCATTCGCGGCCGGCTGCCATGGCAAGACAGGCTGCTTCTGTTCTCTTCTGAGGCGGGCTTCTTCCTCAGTCAGTCCCGTCTCGGAGCCGTCGCCACTCTCGTCCTCTCCTTGTGGTGCAGCCTGAGGTGCAGGATCGCTCGGCTCCTGTGGACCATAATCCCATGAATACCGTGGAGTCAGCGGCCTGAAGGGCGCATGCACAGTGAAGAGGGTTCGAGTCTTCCTCTCAAGCTCTGATGCAAGCGCTAGTGCAGGCGCAGCTTCGGTCTCTGCCTCTGGCTGATGCGGTGTCTCTCCCTGAGGCTCGACCTCGTATGCCGTTTGAGGATCAGGATAAGCTGCTGGATGAACCTCGGTGCCGGCTTCTGCGAAGGAACGACATAAATCTAATGCACAGGGCTCTGGATGCCACACGTACCGGCAGAGTCGACGATGTCGTCTGTGGGAGCACTGGAAGCAGATTCCGCAGTGCTAGGCCCTAGGTCCGTAAGAATTCGATGGTTCACGGACAACGTTCCGGCTACACCGTTGTGAGCGCCGCGAAAACCGGCTATGCATGGTCTAGGAATGTATAACTACTTACCCCCTTCCTCGTCCACGTCAATGGGTGGCTTGAGATCATCGAGAGCTGCTGGTATGTCAGATGGGAACTCATCCACGTTCTACGTCGAGAGCATCAGGAACGGTCAACGTTCGCATGAGCATAGAACGCATCACGCACATGGAATATCACGTAGAGGTCCGTATCGCATGCGATTGCGATGCTGGCGTCGGAGTGCTGCAAACGAAATGAGCGAGGAAGGCTCGTATCACAGACCGTGACATACCGCAAGTATGTAGTCGAGGAGGAAGTTCACCGGATCGTATGGCTAGCGCATTCAATCAACTGAACATCGTCGCGAGCTAACACGCAGAGGGCATGGCACACTCACCGCTGATGACGCGGGCATCTCTTCGAAGTCGGAGTCGGAGGACTCACCGCCATGGCCGGCGGCAACGGGGTCGTTTGGGCCCGTATGGTCTCGATCGCCCGGGGGCAGCTCGTGCGGACCGGCCGCAGCCTCCATGAATCGGCTGGCCCAGGGGAGAAACCTGCGCCTCTTCGCTTTGAAGTAGTTGATGAAGATGCACTGATCGCGTTTGGGCGGCGCCGACTCCTGCGAGCCGCGCGCAGATGTGGAGGAGGTGCTATTCCTAGATGCAGATCTGCTCAACCCATCGTCGCTCATCTTAGTGGGACCGAAGTTGCAACACGATCGAGCAGCGCGCTCTCGGCCGAAAGCGATGGACACGTTGACGTTGCCGACACTAAGGATCTGGGCTTGAACAGAGGCTTCCTGGTTGCGACAGTCACCCTCGTAGGCGCCGCAAAGCCATCTGGACGTTTTCACGGTTCCATTCACGAACAGAATCTGGTCCTGGCTGATCTGCAACCCTACGTCCTCGTTCGCGAAATGAAGCCAATCGTCGAAGTTGTCGCGCATGTACCTGACGAAGTGGCGTTTCGCTGACCACCGATAAGCGATGGCGGGAGGCTCGAGGAGCAGGAACGCGCCGCTGTCTTTGACCGACGTGAACTTCAACCCCGCACCTGCAGAGAACAACGCGTCCAGGCTGGGATTCTTGTGTGATCAAGCTGGACATCCAAGAGAAAATGGATGACTCGCCTGGGCACGCTCGCGCTCGCGTTCGCGGCGATGTCGCGCTTCACGACGGTCTTACTGTTGATCAGAGGGACCTTGATGCGGGGCCACGGGCCTTGTTTCGCTGGATTCTGCGGAGCGAAGACTTCGAACTTGGAGGGGACCCCATGCTTCTGATAGGGATCGCCCGGAGGTTTCGTGACGTTGAAGAGGAGCCAGAACTTCCCATCCTCCAAGTGGCCCACAGTGCCAACCTCAACTTCGAACTTCTGGTCCTCGACCTCGGCGTCCCAGATGGGATACCCGTACCCAGACTGGAGCAGATGATCACTGTAGACGTCGGAAAGCGGGGTGGGAGGAGGCATCGAGGACGCTAGACCGCCCAAGCAGGGACACACTAAGATCCAGCGCAACGGCAGGGATGGATCGAGGATGGGGATGCGGGTCAGTGCAAACCGCGCGGGTGGCGAGCGTGGTCATTTTGACCTTCTCCAAGGCGGTTAGATGCGATGATAGAAGCATGCATAGACTCATCAGCGTGGTCGAAAAGCTTGAGCCTGGCTACGAAACCTGGGACGGATATTCAATATTCATGGTCCTCTCCGGCGGCGCCAAGAGACAAAAGCGTTCCCGAGAGGAAGATGCTTTCTAGAGTCGTCAGTCTTATGCTTAACTCACGCATCTACGCCATGGAGAAACCTAGGGCACGGTGAAATAGGTTCGGGGTCCTGATTGACCGCTGTAATTCACAGGCGCCAACGCGTGACCGCGAGAATGACCGGACAGGGGGTGTAAATGACCGTCAATTACGACTGGGCCGATTGACGGTGAATTCCGCATAATTCAGGTGAATTGAGGTATTCGACAGCGACGCACATTCATTCTGACGGTTCGAGAGGCTCTTGTG